TTGTGTCCTTAGTATATCCTGTTGGGAGGCACCAGGTGCTAAATTTAGTCATTTGGTTAGGCTGGTGTCCGTGATGGTCTGTTTTTCACCCAGTCTTCATGTCCAGCTTCCCCTGCACGTGTCTTTACAAAAACCTCCTTTACCCCTGAAACCGACACCGTTACTTTTCCCCTCCCATAGCGCTGAAAGTCTAGAGCTTTTACTTGACACACATTTTCTTGTTGTGTGATATTGTCTCCTGTATGTAGATGCTTTTCCTGGTCATGCTTCTTTTTCTTTTCTTTCTTTCTTTTTTTTTTCATAAGAGACAGGGTCTTGTTCTGGCACCCAGGTTGGGGTGCAGTGATGTGATTACAGCTCATTGCCGCCTCTAATTCCTGGGCTGAAATGAGCCTCCCACTTCAGCTTCTCGAACAGCTGGGACTACAGGTGCATGCATGGTACCTGGCTGCTTTTTAAAAATCTTTTATGAGGCTGGGTGCGGTGGCTCATGCCTGTAACCCCAGCACTCTGGGACGCCACGGCAGTTGGATTGACTGAGCTCAGGAGTTTGAGACCAGCTAGAGCAAGAGTGAATCTGTCTCTACTAGAAGTAGAAAGAAAAAAAGACTAGCTAGGCATCATGGTGGGCACCTGGAGTCTTAGCTACTCGGTAGGCTAAAAGAATAAGGTCTCTTGATCCCAAGAGTTTGAGGTTTTTGTGAACTATGATGATGCCACAGCACTCTACCCAGGGCAACAGAGTGAGACTCTATCTCAAAAATAAATAAATACAAATCTTTTGTGGAGACATGGCCTTGTTACCCCAGGTTGGTATAGAACTCCTGGCCTCAAGCAATCCTACTTTGGCCTCCCAAAGTACTGGGATTTCGAGCATCAGCCGCCATGCCCAGCCCCAACCACACGTCTTGCTCCTTGGTGGAGGGTTCCCACCTCTGCATTTGCCTCCTTGCCTCGCCTGCCACTGCAGAGCCCTGTCTTGTGTCCACGGGGCTCAGTCTATCCAAACTCATTGGCTGAGCTCCTGCCTCTGTTGCAGCTACCACTGGGTTTCTACCACTAACGTTCTGTGGGGTGGATTTCTTGATTTTAGATCGCCATGGGAGTCCCATTGCACCGGCTGAAGGATATCCGGCTTCTCTATGGAGAGTCGCCATGGGGAGTGATGCCCATTTCTTTTGAAACCCCTGCAAATCCCCCCCTCGCTCGAGGCCACGTCATTGCAGCCAGAATCACCAGCGAAAACCCAGACGAGGCAAGTTGTGGGAGTCCCTGTATTCCCGCCATCTCCTCACTCCCAGTGTGGGGCAGGCCCCAAATGTCGGTCTAGAGGAGATGCCAGGTGTCCTAGTTTACAAATGGGGAAACCAAGGTGCAGAATGGGACATGTCATGGTTTATTAGATTATTGGATGACTGCCCGGCTCCGAGCAAACCCTCCCTGCATCTCAGTGTTCACTTATGTGACGTTGCTGACATTGGGGCGTTGTTACCCCACATTAGAACCGGAGGGGTTGTGGTCATTTGCCTTCTACCTGCCCAGGACAGCTGGACACCGTCAGTAGACTCCAAAGGCCATGCCCATCTTGGTGATAGACAGCTAGGTGTAGTTCTTGGATTTCTGGATCCAAGTGCTTTTTGGTATCGTATGTAATAAATAAAGTCTGGCCTGGTCTGTTGTGGGGGGTCCCTTTGTGATGTGGTCTTAAAAAACTGACCACCTGTCATCTGGTGTAGTTGACACATGTATTGATTCTTGACAGTCAGAGGACTCATTCATTTACTGCAACTTAATTGTTTAATTGTTACATTCAGGAAACTTGGGGTAAGAGAAGTACACCTCCCCTATTAAATCATTTAAAGCTGTGGTACTGCTCCATTCATTTGGAGTTATTGGCTGCAAGTAAAACACCGACTCTGACGGATAAGCAAAATGGGAATTTTTCAGAGGGATAATGGCTTATCTCAGGTGCCAGGTGTGGAAATAGCCCAGGCACCTAAACCATCATACTTCTCCTTTCCACATACCTCTCCCAAAACAAATGTGTTCCATCACTTACCGGGTCATTCAAGAGAGCTAATCCCAGCGGGAGGGTCCAAGTCTACTCATTCTTAACAAAATAGTGCTCGGGGGATGGGCCAGCTCCCTAAATGGACCAGGTGCATGTTAGTGGCAGCCTCGCCTCGCCAGGGATACCCTAAGTCCTGTGGGAATTGTCATCCAGAGTTGGAAATCTAACCACTCTTTACTTTTATTTAAACTTCTTATTTTCAAAAACACCAAGTATATAAAATTAGAATGTCCCTTGATCCAACTCTAACAATCATCATCATCCACCCATGTTTTACCAATACCTCGTCCCCCATTCCAGCTCAGTGGTTACTTTTTACAGTTTTTAAAAAATAAAAATTAAAGGCCTTGAGGTGATTATGTGGACGCACTTATAACTGGATATATTGACACCTGTCACGAGAGAGAGCAGTGTTTTATTGGTTGCCCTAATGTTTTAGTTGCAGTAGGTTCTCTTAAATTTTCCTAGGACTGAATTCTGATGACAGTATATCTGGAGTAATGATTTCTTCTATTTGGCTTTTTCTGTCTGGACTCCAGGGGTTTAAGCCAAGTTCTGGCACAGTCCAAGAACTGAATTTCCGCAGCAGCAAGAACGTGTGGGGTTACTTCAGCGTGGCTGCTACTGGAGGCTTACATGAGTTTGCTGATTCCCAGTTTGGGCACTGCTTCTCCTGGGGAGAGAACCGGGAAGAGGCCATTTCGTCAGTATCTCCTTGCCTCCCTCCTTTCTTCCTTCCCTCCCTCCCTCCTTCCCTCCCTCCCTTATCCCTTCCTGCCCTCTCTCCCTACTTTCTCCCTCCTCTCTTCCCTTCTTTCCTTCCTTTAAGAAACTAAAATTTCCCCTGTGGCTTCAGATGCGGCAGCCTTTTGGGAAACCAAGAAAGATGAATCACAGGGCAGACTCTATTTTAAATACCATGTGCTAGGCGGTGCCTGTGGCTCAGTGAGTAGGGCCCCAGCCCCCTATACCGAGGGTGGCGGGTTTGAACCTGGCCCTGGCCAGACTGCAACAAAAAATAGCCGGGTGTTGGGGCAGGTGCCTGTAGTCCCAGCTACTCCAGAGGCTGAGGCAAGAGAATCGCCTGAGCCCAAGAGCTGGAGGTTGCTGTGAGCTTTGATGCTACAGCACTCTGCTGAGGGCTACAAAGTAAGACTCTGTCTCTAAAAAAAAAAAAATAATAATAAATACCATGTGCTTAAAGTTCAAGGTTGAGGTCTGCCCTTTTCCTTTATTGGAAATGCACAAAATAAAATGAGCTCACCAAAGTCATTTGGTTTTGAACTTAGAAGAGTTCTAACTTGAAGAAAATCCAAAGATTGTTCAAGGTGACCTAATCGTATGAATTCCCATATTAATAAAAAAACAAAAACAAAAAGCTTGCTCACGGTAATACCAAATGTTTAAAAGGTACTGTATATCATAGTTGAAAAAAGGACGGGGGCCAGAGGGTCATGGTGTATGGCACACCTCTTGGGGGCAGGACTCAATTATAAGAGGGACTTTAACAACAACAACAAAAAAAAAAAAAAGGGAAAGAGAAACTGCTTTAAATTTAAACCTCATAAGTAGTTTCCTAGTTGTCTGTATTTCACACCCAAGACTAAATTTCTTAGGATGTGTCCTGCTGCGAGCCACTCACCACCGTGAGGCTTGTGACAGCAGCCCCATGTCCCAAGTCCAGCCAGGTCCACACTTGCCATAGTTTCTGCAGAGGGGAGAAACTCACATTGACAAAGTGACCCCCACATTCTGACGCACTATGTCTGACGTTTCTCCTGCTTTGAAGTGAGTGCAGAAAGGTGAAATACCAGTTCACTTTGTCATTGAACATTCTTGTGTGGGTGCATAACTGCCTTTCAAAATCAAAAAATCCCAAAGGCATTATGGGCATAATCATTTAGAACACATTAAAATCTAGCCCAAGGCATTACCCATGAATTGAATTAAATTTGAAAGTTTTGATGACCGGCTTTTCTTTGCCAGCTTAGACTAATTCATTTTAATTGGGCTCAATGAAAAGTTGAGCTCCTTAAAGCTTACAGAGGTCTCTAGCAAATTAGGCTTACCAGGAAGAGGTGGGAGACAGGTCAGCTGGGCCAGCCCACTCCACATGAAAGGACCTGCGGCTTGTCCCTTGCTGTGAAAGGCAGCAGCTTCAACAGAATTCACAGCAAGAAATGCCAGCTTTTCTTTCTTTCTTTTTTTTTTTTTTAAGAGACAGAGTCTCACTTTATTGCCTTTGGTAGAGTGCTCTGGCGTCACAACTCACAGCAACCTCCAACTCCTGGGCTTAGGTGATTCTCTTGCCTCAGCCTCCCGAGTAGCTGGGACTACAGGCATCCCCCACAATGCCAGGCTATTTGTTGTTGCAGTTTGGGTGGGGCCGGGTTTGAACCCGCCACCTTCGGTATATGGGGCCGGTGCCCTACCCATTGAGCCATAGGTGCTGCCCCAGAAATGCCAGCTTTTCTTACTGCTGTTAGTCAGAGTTCAACAGGGAGATCAAGAGTGTTGGTTTTCCTGGGACTTCTCAGTGCTATAGAGCTGGGAGTATCCCGAGCAAAAGGGGACAAGTCAGTCCCCCTTGAGTCCAGTGGCTTAGCCCTCAGATCCAGCTTCTGGCCCTGCAGCTGATCTTCTGACCCTCATTTGACCTCACTGGCTCTTTATGTTGTCACCTTCAGAATGCCCCTCTGACTGCCCTTTGCCTGTGCGCACTGGCAGGAACGCCGTACCAGACATGAAAGCTTTTGTGCCCAGGAGGAGGAGGGGCGCTCGGATCCCTCACTTCTCTGTAGTGCATTCCTGCCCAAACACTGCCACTATGACTCCTCGGGGAGTGGAGTTCTTGCCTTTCCCACTGGTGCTCTTTGAGGTCAGACACTGTATTTGGATGAAGAAACCATGGTGCCCTCCGGGCCCCTGAGCCAGGTGGCAATGTCACCTATCTGCAGTGTGTCCCAAGCACCCTGGGCAGAACAGCTGTGTGGACAGTGAGGGTGGCCACCCGCTCTGGGGATGGGAAGAGATGCGAATAGGTCAAGGGAAAGACAGAGGCAGAGTGCTGGTTCTCGTTCTAGTACATTAGTAATTAATTATTATGGTTAATAATTATAATAATGGTAGTAAATCACATTTATAGCAGTTAACGTGTGCTTTACATGGATTGTCTCATTTTAATCTTCAAACAGCCTCATGAAGTCAGGGTTATTTCCCCATTTTCCAGATGAGGAAACTGAGGCTCAAAGTGGTTGAGTCACTTGCCCAGCATGACTCAGCTAGTAAGTGGTGGCCCAGAGATCAACACCCCAGCTGTCTGACTCGGGGCCCTCTCTCAACTCCCATGCTTTTCTGGTTCTCTACAAACCAAGTCACGAAAACGACCTTAGGCTCTCTGCCGATGCATATATTAATTGGGAAAATCCTTGTGCCTTTCCCCTCAAGGAACATGGTGGTGGCTCTGAAGGAACTGTCCATCCGAGGTGACTTTAGGACCACCGTGGAGTATCTCATTAACCTCCTAGAGACTGACAGCTTCCAGAACAACGACATTGACACCGGGTGGTTGGACCACCTCATCGCTGAAAAAGTGCAGGTAGATGGAGCCGCCTGTGTCTCCCCTGGGGTGGCCAAGATTCCTCGCTCCCTGAGGATACTGAAGCACAGCGTCTTCCCCAGGCCGAGAAGCCGGATATCATGCTCGGGGTGGTGTGTGGGGCCTTGAACGTGGCCGACGCGATGTTCAGAACCTGCATGACGGATTTCTTACACTCCCTGGAGAGGTAGGGCGCGTGGTGCTTCTTTCCCCCTCTGTGCTGTATGCATGTCTGTGGCATAGAAGGCAGAACGTGCTTTATCAGGTGGCAGATCTGTCACCAGGCAGCTGGTGAGTCTCTTCTACAGCCTTGCCTCTGCAAAATTCCTTGGATAAACCTGAGCCCCCCTCAAAGAGGCCAGGGCTGGGGTGGGGAGGACGGGATTCTTGGGGTGCATGCAGTGTTGGTTTTGCAGATAGGCATGTGCAGATTGAGGCTGACTTGTGTAAGGACTACCATCACACCCAGGAACTCAGAGTTCAAGGAAGGGGATGTGAGAGGCAAAGCAAGGTGAAGGCTATCTCCACAGGTGGTTTCAGACCTTCCCTGAATCACAAGGTGCCTAATAAAATGGGCTAGAGTGGACAAAGGCCAGGCGTTCTCTGTTAGGACAGACCGGGGGCAGGGGGCATTTATCTCAGCACTGTGGATGTTTGGGGCTGCATCCTTTTTTTGTTGGGGAGCGGGGTGCTGTCCTGTGCATGGTAGGGTGTTTGCAGCATCCCTGGTTTCTGTTCACTAATGCCAGAAACGCCCTTCCTCCTGAGTCAGGAGTCAAATATATCTCCATTGGGAGGCTGAGGTAGGAGGATTGCTCAAGGCCAGGAGTTTATGAACAGCCTGGGTGACATAGAGAACACTCATCTCTACAAAAAAATTATTTAAAAAATTATCTGGGCTGGGTGCAGTGGCTCATGCCTGTAATCCTAGCACTCTGGGAGGCTGAGGCGGGCAGATTGTTTGACCTCAGATTTGGAGACCAGCCTGAGCAAGAGTGAGCCCCTATCTCTACTAAAAATAGAAAAACTAGATGGGCATTGTGGCACGTGCCCAGCTACTGGGGAGGCTGAGGCAAAAGGATTGCCTGAGCCCAAAAGATGGAAGTTGCTGTGAGCTATGATGATGCCATGACACAGAATGAGACTCTGTCTCAAAAAAAAAAAAAAAAACAAACCCTAGCTGGCATGGTGGCATGAGCCTGTAGTCACAGTTACTGTGGAGGCTGAAGCAGGAGGCTCTCTTTAGCCCAGGTGTTTGAGGCTGCAGTGAGCTATGATTGTGCAACTGTATTTCGATTTGGCTGATAAAGTGAGACCTTGTCTCTTAAAAATAAAAATTATATATATAATATTTAAAAAATGTGTATATATATATGTTTATATATATTCATATCACCAAATGTCCCAAAGGTAAGGGCCAAATTGCCCTGATTGAGAACCGCTGTGATAGGCAAGTTAAACTATGAAAAAGAAAATAATAGGGTAAAAGTTATTGGTATTTCATGAAAGAAAAAGGAAGCAAAAAAAAAAA